AGGATCACTCGCACTGTGGCTACCATTATGATAGGCAATGTAGTTTCCCATCCAGATCATCAGGTGTTGCGCATCCCCTTGATCAAAAAACAAAAGATCAGCCGTCAACGCTCGGTTCAGCTCCTTGCCCACCCAGTGGGTATTGGCCTGCACCAACTCCAGGGCTCCGACCCAATTGCCCTGCGAGCCATCCACCCGTTGCCAAAGTTGGCCCCATTTCATCTGTTTTTTTTGTAGCCCAACTTCAGGGGGAGTAGGTCGCCCCCAGAAACCATTGGCCTTGAGCCAAGACTCATCATGACGGCGCAAAGCCTGGCTACAGGCAAAACGTACCAAACCCGCGCAATCGCGTTGAAGCCAACGTGGCGTAGGTCCGCGGCGAAACTGCTGCGCCACGATCAGCGAAAACCATTGTCGAAACGCTTGCGCTTGGGCAGAGGTAAGTAGCTCGCCATCTGTTTGGACCGTGTCGAATGTGTCATCTGCCTGCAAGGCTCGGGCCGGAGCACTGAACAGCCCCAAGCCCAGTGCCCCACCGCCCAGTTGCAAAAAAGTACGGCGGCTCGGCCCCTCAGGCTGCGAAAGACAAGTCACAGATATCATGCGATAAAGCTATAAGGTTTAAGGAAGACTGCGCCACTCAGCCGCATACCACCGCATCTTGGCCGCGTCCTTTGCCTCTTTATCGGCACTTTTTTCTGGCCACTTTGCCGTTAGTATAAAAGGCTTAAAACTGCCTATACTGCGCATACGCTCTGCGTTATAGGCCTCGTGCAGGGTGCTGGCCTCCAGCGTGCTGAGTTGGGCTTTGATTTCTTGATCGAATAAGGCCATGGCCTGCGCCGGATGGACATAAAGTAAGATGCCTTGCCCGTCAGCCCCGCCCAGCACATCGCTGAGGTTAGGGTATGTTTTTTGACTCACCTGCTCAGCGACTTGCTTTACCAAGGTCATATTCGCAGAAAAGTAAATCACCTGCCCGTTATAGCCCATGGTCGCATCGTAGCCCTCCAAGGCGCTGTTACGCTGCAAGAAAGCCAGACCCCGGCCTTGAGCGGGCGTTTTCTCCAGGGCATTGACGCGATCATCAGGCGCCGCCGCCCCTTTTTTAGAAGATGTAACGATTTTTTTACCATCTTTCGTTTCAGATTTGTCCGCCTTAGGTGGCGGAATATTCGTTGCCCAATCAAATACAGCGTTCAAGTCTTGCTCACTTAAAGTGGCATCCGGCTTACGCAAAGCCATCAGTAAAGGGCTAATGGCGCTGCTTTCGGCGTGTTCACTGGGGTACCAACAGGCAGCGGCAGGCCCCGACAATGCGCTGGCAATCGGACTACTAAGCTGGGGTGCACCCTTGCCTTTTTTCAACAC